GACTAGGCCAGGTGAGCGGGTCCTTCCCCAGCCCTGGGGTCCGCCGAGAGCACCCTCATCTCCTCCGAAGGAACAAGGAAGACCGAGGGCGGGCTGAGGGAGAAGGGGGGTTTGGGAAGCTAAGGGTGGGGGACTGGAAATCTGGGACGGGAGGTGGTGGTGGTCGAGGGGGAGCTTAGGGCGCTGCGGACCCGAGAGCTCACCGATTTCTCTCTCCACTCCCCCTTCTGCCCCTCCTCCCCCGGACCGAAGAACTGAGCACTTTCGAAGGTAACAGGACGACCTGGAAGCGACGGGGTGGGAACCCGAGTGGGAGGGAGAAAAGGAGCCAGTCCCCATCCCTTCCCCCTGCCCGCCCTCGCCCCTCCCAGCGCTGGAAAACGCACCGGAAAACCCCCGGGGGGGTTTCTGATACCTCCCGACGCCCCAGGCTGCGGTGGGGACACACCTGAGCCAACACAGATATGCAGTCACCCCGTTTGGCTACTTGATCACGGCCGGGGGCTCTGGCGCACAGTGGTGCGCGCACGTACCGGCCGCGGCTGGGTTCAGATCAATGACTCGGTGGGGGGTGGAGGGTGGGGTCCGGTGTGCCTGGGGCCCCTGGCGCTCCCGTCCCGTGGTCCGGGTCTAGGAAGGGGGAGAGGAAGTACCGGAGAGGGCAGGTGCTCAGACCTTCTCTGTCCTCAGTTCCCCAGGAGAGATGGATGCCGCGACCCCTCCGCAGTGACGCGACTTCCCCGCAGTGTTTGTGACCCTCCCCTTCCCGCCACCCTGCCAGCTTCAGGAGCCGCCCTGCGTCCTCAGAGACCCTGGCCCAGGCAGGCTCCATCGAGGAGTCGCCGAGCCCGTGCCCGTCCCTGTGGTTCTCCACCCCAGTGAGGTCCCGTGCGCCCTCCTTCCCCACCTGGCCCCAGACCTCGCACTCCCCGACCGTCCGTCCCCGCTTCTCGCCCCGCGTCCCCGCACCTGCATGCAGTTTGGCCTTCACGGCCTCCTCGGCGATCCCCCGAGTGCACCGCAGAGGGCGCCCTACCCTCTACGTTGCCCAGGACACGCACTTGAAAAAAAGCCCTTTAGTTCCCCGCACAGCTAAAGGGGGCGTCTTTCTTCTCTGTGCCGTTCTCGCCCTCGCCCCGCCCCAGAACTTTGGATCTGGGGCGAGGAGAGAGGGGGAGAGAGTTTTTATGGTGTCTGGTACCCCTTGCTCCGATGGGAAGGGAAGTCCCTCTTTCACACCCCACCCCACGCCTGCCTGCCATCGGCCCTCCGCGCTCCCTGGCGCCGCAGAGCCACCCCTCCACCAGCTCTTCTTGTTTTGCGGACGCTGAGCGCGGGGTGGCTCGGTGGGAGGAGTCCGTTGTGGCCCGGCCCCTGCCCTGCTGGCTCCGCCCCCGACGGGCCCCTGGGGCTGTGGCCGGAAGATTTTTTTTTTAATTTTTTTTTTTTTTATCTACGAGTGTGCATGTGACTGTGCTGGGTTGGAATGTGAACAATAAACAGGAATGTCCAAGTGTCCCAAGGGTGTCAGAGGGGAGGGTGCCTGGGTGCGCAAAGCCACTGCTCACAACTTGAACAAGTCTCCTTTGACCCAACCAAAAAGTGTGGGGGCGAGGGACGTCGGATAAAACCTCCCCTTCCCGAAGACAGCATCACATCCGGGCCGTAAGCCCACTCCTTCCCTGACGGGTAACACTCCGGGCCGCCTAGGGGGTTTGCTACACCTCAGAAGGAAGAGGGAGACAAGATGGTACCCAGAGGCTTTAATTGTGGGCGTTCCCCCTCGGTGATGGGCGGGGAAGTCAGACGACCACAGGGAGCTTGGACTTGGTGGTCTTCACAGAGGCGGCAGAGGGGGGCTTCTCCAGGAGCCCATCGCTAGGATCGGTCATCCCAGAGGTTTGCTCCGAAATCCCAGGAGCGGTGGCGTCCTCTCTGATGGTTGTAAACACATTCTTAGCGACGGCTGGAGGCATCCCTCCCTCCAAGGACTCTCCTCCCCCGACCCAGGGTCCTGGACACTTTACTGCGCCTGAGAATGAATCATCTGCCGAACGTTGGTTGAAATGAAGATTCCAGGCCCCATCACCCCCAACACACACACACATGCTACTTTCGGGAGGGGTCGGAAGTGGCCTGAATCTGAATGTTAACAAGCTCCCAGTCATTTCTGTCCAAAGGAGATCGAGCCCACAACCCAGGCATGTGCCCCTGACCTCCTGGTTCATAGGTCAACGGGAGGACCACACTTGGAGGAATACTGCTCTGGTCCCTAGTTTGGACCCCACAATTGACAATGGATGACAGAGGCAGCTCTTATCTCTCCTCTCCTTGCTGCACCCGCCCCCCCATACACACACAGAATTAATACTCGGCTGAATGCTCAGGGCAAATCTAACTCCTGGAATCCATGACCTGTTGATGTTTATGAAAGGCCTTGAAAACTGAAACTTCTTATAAGTATGAAGAGGGTAAGGGCAGCTTATATACTTGCTCACACACAAATACACCCCTACACACACACACACACCCCAAATCCCAGGGCTGAGCGGAACTCCATACCCCCCAAAGATGTCACAGTTTGAGGGCTGGCATCATCTACCCTTACTCCGAGCCCTGTCCTCCCTCTGCTCACCGAAGGTCACTACCCCCGTAAGTCTCCTTCGGCCTCTTCCTCCTCTCTTTCTGGAATCTCATGAGGCAGAATACAGCGACGGACAGGATCAGCACACCCAGGAGCACTCCGATCACCGCCCCGGCCATTCGGCCTTTGGAAGGGTCTAAGGACACACAGGACCCTCAGAGCTGCACACCTTCCTTGGCCCCTCAGACCATCTCATGCAGCCTCTGCAGCCCAGGCCTGCCCGCCTGGCCTCTGCCCGGCATCCCTACCAGTCACAGACAAGGTCAGCTCGCAGGAGGCACTGCCCATCTGGTTGGTGGCGACACAGCGGTAGGTGCCCGAGGAGGCCCGGGAGAGATTGGTGAGAATGAGCTGACCAGACACCTCATCTAGAGAGTAAAGAGGAAGTAAGTGTTCCATTACTGGACTCGCAGTGAGCACCCCCTGTGACGAAAGCACTTTTCATTTCATCCTGTCAGGAAGGGACTAACCTCAATGTATTAGTCAGTCCCTTCCTAACTAATAAATGCCAAAGCCACTGCAACTCCTGTGCACTTTCCGCCCTACGCAGCTGCCTTCTCAGGGAGGGGGAGGCTGCACACACGTGAAGCTCAGAAACTGGCAATGGAATTGGGGTGGGTGCTCACTGGCTGATGTCAGGTTCCTGGTTGCAGGCGGGGGGGAGGGGGGGGTCTTCATCACTAGAAACTGTATCCCCTGGGATGGCTCTAAGCTGGACCCAGTGCTTTTCTAAGCTGCTTACCTTCCTCCCTTTTTAAAAAAATATATTTTTATTGATTTCAGAGAGGAAGGGAGAGGGAGAGCTAGGAACATCAATGATAAGAGAGAATCATTAATTGGCTGCCTCCTGCACGCCCCCTACTGGGGATTGAGCCTGCAACCCAGGCATGTGCCCTCCACCAGAATCAAACCCAGGACCCTTCAGTCCACAGGCCGACACTCTATCCACTGAGCCGAACCGGCCAGGGCTAACCTTCCTTAAGAAGGCAGAGCACACAGCAGGAAGTGATCTGGGCTCTCTGGATTGAGAGAGGGTGGGCTGGGGCTGGGAAGAGAGAGGGCACTGGAGCGAGCATGAGGAGGCTGAGAAGCCAAGGCTCTTAGCCAGTTACGTGGTTCCCCCAGAGAAACCAGCTAAGTGATCAAGACGGTCCATGCTACTCTGCCTCAGTTTCCCTTCTAGGAAGTTTGGAAATGATTCATGACCCTGAAGAAATCTCAAAGAAACCTCTCCCAAACAGACAAGCGGGGATCACGGAATGCCCCTGCCTTCCACTCTGTTCCACAATATCAGTCTACTGAGCTTGAGGAATGCGTCCAGGATCATGCAGCCGCAGACTGTGCAGGGAGACAGGAGGCACCAAGACAGGAGCCAAGGAAGATGCAGGGAGAAGGTATAGCATTTGTCTCATGCACACAGGCCTGGCGCTGGTACTGTGGCGCAGCCACAGACTGTGCAGGGAGACAGACAGGAGGGACCAAGACAGGAGCCAAGGAAGATGCAGGGAGAAGATATAGCGTTTGTCTCATGCACACAGGCCTGGCGCTGGTACTGTGGGTGTGTGGGGTTTAGAGACCAGGTTTGCCCAGGTCCTGAGTCCCCCCCTCTTCCTTGACGCCCCGGCCCTTACCTTGCACCATGCTGCCAGGAGGAGGTGTAGGAGAAGATCCAAGGCGGACCCAGTTGTACACGGGCCTGGGAGCCCCTTCAGAGGAACTGCACCTCAGGGCAGCAGAGCCTCCCACAGACGTGTGACCGGTCTGGCTGCACACAGGACCACTGGGGGGCACTGCAAAGGTCACAGAAAGAACCTTGGTGGGCTTCCGATCCCCGCCCCCATGAAATGCTGGATTTCCTCATTCAATACTCCTACCAAACAGCGGTTCACTTTTGGGGTAGAAACCTGGGGGGGTAGGGTCCCCATGTCTGCATCCCCAGGAAATGATTTGCATGACTGAAAATTCTGATTGTTTGAAAAATCTTCATGTTGAGCCCAAATCTATGTTAACATCTACTCATTGGTCCCAACTCCTGCCCTCTGGGCCCACAAAGAGAAACGGAAGATCTCTCCTTCACAGGACAGCCTTTCAGATTCACCAGCTCCTAAGTCAGCGGTTCTCAACCTGTGGGTCGCGACCCCTTTGGCGGTCGAACGACCCTTTCACAGGGGTCGCCTAAGACCATCCTGCATATCAGATATTTACATGGCAATTCATAACAGTAGCAACATTACAGTTATGAAGTAGCAACGAAAATAATTTTATGGTTGGGTCACAACATGAGGAACTGTATTTAAAGGGCCAGAAGGTTGAGAAACACTGA